TTTCTCAGGTCAATTTTGTAACTTCAGGTAACTAAAGCTTGAATAAATTGTCTTCTTTTTATTTAGGTTCCGATTAAGGGACTGTCGTTCAAAAAGAATTTAGGCCCTTTTTAATCGAATTAAAAAAGGAGGAGGTTTCTAGTGGTTATTACTTAATCACCTACTTCCACGCGGTTTCACCTGCTCTGCTCGGTTCCTATTGGTCGTAGCGTTATGTTTTATAGCCTATAGCCTTCCTCGATAAATGCACTATCTAAGACAAAAAGAGTAAATTATTAAAGATTTAATTAAATTAAATCTGACCATTAGTTTCGGAGATTGGCGCGTTCAAACAAATAAACGAATAAACATACTCTTCATATTTTTATAATAGTATAAGATATAAAACAAGAGTATAAGATTAGATATAGGATTTTTTTAAGGGGGAAAAATCATGGAATGACTGCTCCCGCCTGGGCGAGGCAGAAGGGAGTGTCAGACTCTTACTGACTAAAAACCACCCCGTTCCTACTCCTGCACTTCGAGCCGGAGCCCCGGTAACCCGTTGGGTTTTCCGCGACATTAGATATAGGATAAGACTAGTTTATACCTATGTAATTATTTTTTATGTGTAAAATATTTAAATGGTACCTAGTTAAACTCTTCCTAATATTGAGAGTAATTGTAAAGGTATAGTGGTATTACCTTATTTTTCGAATATTTCAAACTCATACAATTTAATATTATGTGGTTTGTCGTACATGTACCTAATAAGGAAGGTAAATAACTTGTATCATTCAAATTAGCTATGTTAACTGCTCTCATTACGTAACAAATTTTCAATATATTATTGTTGCTGTAGTAACAAGTTATGGATGGACAAAATCCAAAGGTACTGGAACATTTTAAATGTGTCTTCTGTTTGCTTGATCTTTTTATTATAATAAGGAAAATATACAGACATAGCTTATAGGACATTGAATTAATCTTATTGTAATGGAAAAAAATAGCACTGAATAAAAACATCGTATCTGACTACGAAGACGTCCATGGCTAAAGATTTATTTGTATCAATGACTTCCAAGTTACTTATCTAATTGTAATACAAATCCATCCAATACTTCCAGAGTTCTACTCAATTAACTAAAAATCGCGGGTTATTCATGTAAAATATAGTGAGAAAAGCTCTCAGCATACTGTACGCTGTGCGACATCGCCGCGACCGCGCCTGCTCATGAGGAAGACCCCCTCTGTAGTTCGCAACTAGTAGAACTTTTCTCAGCATATTCACGTGAGTAACCCGCGATTTCTGAAACAAGTGTTTTATTATTAATGGTAACGTATTTATTTATTTATTTATTTATTTATTTATTTTTAACTTCTTTACACAAACGGACTTAATGTCGTAAGGCATTCTCTGACAGTCAACCATAGGGAAGTGCAGAGAAATTGAGCGGTTGATGCGAACCTAGAACACAATTTTAAAACATAAAGAATGTAGTTAATTGTATGTACGTGTACGTATGTCGTATAAAAGGTAATTTAGTTACCTTTAAAATGAGAGCATTTTGTTGTAAAATTAATAGTTTTTAAAGTAGGTAATAGGGGTTCTATACAATTAAAAAAATACAACGTTGGTGCCTCCGTTTCTTTGCTTCAAATGTATAAGTAAATACATAATTTGCGTGTGACATAGTACATAACCTTCACACGGGTATTCCTCGTGAATCCACAAAGCGTGAAGTATTTATAGTGTCATTATTACTTTTTTAACACCTGTTATTTGTACTTTTTGCAGAATCTTCCACAATTTACTTTATTTTAATGATTTCTTTTTGCGTTAGGCTTCTTAGATAATATTCATAAAGATGTAACTATGACTTAGATCACCTTTAGATTAACATGACCTTCGGCTTTTAATAACAGTCTGCATTGATAGCACCTCGGCTAATGAGCTGAAAGTATTAAATTATCTACAACTACCTACTTCCGCCCGGTTACACTCGCTCTGCTCGGCGCCTATTGATCTTAGCGTGATGTTTTATAGCATATAGCCTTCTGCGATAAATGGACTATCCAACATAAAAATAATTATTCAAATCGGACCAGTAGTTCCTGAGATTAACGCAAACAAATAAACTCTTCAGCTTTATATAATAGTATAAGCTAAGATTAATATTATGCTCATTAGAGATGATCTTATAAAACTAATAAATTCCGTATTTACATCTACATAAGGTAGAACTTTCATGAATACATTTACTTTGACATCGATTACTTACTATGATACTACTGCAAAAAGAGTCAAACTCAAACAAATATAATAACTAGTATGTCAAAAGCTTTGCCTTTTCGTTGAGGTATTTTCAAGTGCGAATATAAATTAAAGGGCACTAGTTTCAACATGTGAAAAATTAATGTAATTTTTCTCAACCTTGTGTTTCATGATGGAGGCAGTATTACGGATTTTTGTACAGTTTAACGTATAGATAGTGTGGTTTTTAAAGAAGTTTAAGTGGAGGTATGTAGTTTATGGTTTTGACTCGTTAGTCATCAGCTACACGCGATTAGCTAGTAAAGAGACGTGGTGGCTCGGATAGTTTAAGACGCCTGCTGCTCACACATGAGGGTGTGGATTCGAAACTTACCAACAGCAAGACCAATGTGACTTTTTCCGAGTTATATGTAGTTGCTAAGATTATTTAGATACCACTGACAAACGGTGAAGGAAAACATCGTGAGGAAACCTAAGCTTATAATTTCTAATCATAAGTTTGAAATTGCCAACCCGCAATGAGCAAGCGTGGCGATTATTGCTCATACCTTTTCCGTGTGAGAAGAGGCCTTTGGTCACTAGTGGCCACTTATATGTTTTGTTTATTAGTTAGCTTATCACATGTTATTGCAAACATTAATTTGTTACTACCCCACTATAGTTCGGAGCCGCGGAGGACTTAACGCGTTGCCGGGGCTCCGGTTCGAAGGGCAGGAGTAGGAACGGGGTGGTTTTTAGTCAGTAAGAGTCTGACACTCTCTCTCGCCTCACCCAGGCGGGAGCACTCATTCGATGATTTCCCCCTCCCCCTTAAAAAAACCCCTCTATAGTTACATCTAGAATGTATAACATCACTTCATTTAATTAATCAAGTATTACACTGAACAACGTCTAACAAGTGTTAAAGTTGTCGCATGTCATCGCCAATTGCGCCGATTAATTTGTAGTCTCTTGGACATTCCTAAGAGAATTTCCCTTTAAAACAGACACTAAGGTTTAATTTTTAAACAAGAAATATGTAGTTATTTATATAGCTAGCTTCTCCCAGCACATTTGCCTGCGTTACAGGAAAGTAAACTAGCCTAGATGTGACAATGTGTTATTCTTGACTGATTATAATCTGTCTTTATGCCAATTAATTCAATAGTTTTAACTTTACGGAGAGAGTAAGAAAATCATACTTTATGGTGAATTGCGAAACACCAGAGTGTTAATGTTACAAATGCGTCGTCGGCCTTCTGGGGTTTTGGAAATTTGAGGATTTTGGGGATTGGAGAGACTAGAAAGGGGGGTAATTGGGCCTGCAGTAACCTCACTCACGCGACGAAACACAACGCTCTGGTTGTTTCACACCGGTTTTCTGTGAGGCACGAATGGGCCTTGCGTTGTGTTTCGTCGTGTGAGTGAGGTTACCGGAGGCCCAATTACCCTCCCCTTCCCCCATCTCCCCAATTCCTGAATCCCAACGATCCTCAAACTCCTAATCCCCAAAAGGCCGGTAACGCACTTGTAACGCCTCTGGTGTTCCAGGTGACCATGGGCGACGCCGATTTCTTACCATCAGGTGATCCGTGTGCTCGTTTACCGGCTTATGTCATAAAAAAAAGGCCGGTGGTATCACTCCGGTCGAGCCGGCCCATTCGTGCCGAAACGGCTCTCCCACACTTGGATCATCACTCTGCTATTTATCAGTGATGGTGATTAGACTTGATGTATAAATGGAATTGAACTTGAATGTAAGGATCGGCCTATATTATGGGTCGTGCTTCGTAATTTCTGTCTATCCCTACCTGTGGAATATTTCTTTTCGTACATGACATGTGTTGGTTTTTAGACAAAGACTGGTCGTTGTAAGAATCGTAGTAATTGGCGTTAGTCTGTGCCTACCCTCATGGGAGACAGGCGTGAAGTTATGTATGTATGTATGTACTGGTCGTTGTGTATTTTATTGTAGTCGTAATACTCGCGATAAATTATACTACAGCAGATTAAGCTAAGCTATTAACGTATTAAAACCTAGATTGCACTAGATAAGACTTAACAGCTTAATTCAATTAGTCATCTTGTTAATTCATATTATGTTTCTTAATATCAGTTACATTCGTCTGGTCTAGAGTCTAGATTAGCAAAACGAATAAAGGAGGGGATAGGTTCATATACATTATACGTATTTTTGACCACTTTATTATCCTTAAAGTTATTATATAACTCGTAAAAGGAACTATAGTTTGTCTATTGTTTAAATTTTCACCTGTCTCCTATTGAGGTAGTGCAGAAAACATAGAAAGATAAATAGCACGATTCTATCCATACTCGTCTACTATACTAGTATTTTAGCCAAGTAGCGAATAATTGATTAGGTAAAATGCTTGGTTTTGTTCCGATATCGTTTGCACTAGGGTCGAGTATAGCTTACAAGTAGTAATGAGAGTAACATTATCTACAAAAATTTTTGCGTTCAGACACATTTTGCTACCAACTAGCTTCTTGAAAGCCTCTTTTCCAGTATAATATTAGCCTTGTGTGAACCGGGCATTTCGAGTTATATCTTTGAAAGAAGCCTTTACTTAGCAACCTAGGTAGGCAATGTATCATTTTTGTTTTTTTTTGTATTTTCAATTTCTCAGTAAAAGCAACGGTAAATGTCAATAAATTCTATGATGTTGAAAATCTATTGACACGCTAGCATCTATACTTATGTCCTTATTTGTGTCTCCGTCTAAATCTCATGTGGTATTTCCAGAAGGCAGTAGATGGAAGGACTGGCTCCTCGCGTCTTTGCTGCTCGGTGCGGTGGTCGGTGGCTGGGCGGCACTGCGCGCTGGTCGCGCGAGCCGTCACCAAGTTCAGCGCATGCTCCGAGACATGGAACAGCTCCGCAAGGCCGAGATGGCCCTGAATGATATGCAGAAGGAACTGGAGAAAGCTCGTCTGGAACAGGTTGGTTTCATAGTTGAGTTTTAAATATATAGTAAAATTACAATGACAGCAGAGTAAAATATATTTTTCTTCCAAAACCTTATGCCTATATCAGGGAAGTAGCTAGCGCCGTATCTGCCGTATTAATTATACCGGGCCCCCACACTTCGAGGGTCCCGAAAGTACGTAAACAAAAGATAATAAAAGCTACCCAATTTGTATTTTATTTTAGTAATCACAAGAGTCTTATTATTTTCCCGCAGAAAGCATGCGTTCAGAGATTGGTAGAAACTTTAGAAAAACTAAATAATGATCTAATTAATGAAAACTATCTAATGATCTGTATTATTCTATGTTACCAACTAAGTAAAACATTGTGGAACGCAATAAAGAATTTGAATTCAAAGTAATCATACTTCGATAATTGGGCAGGGGGATTTCATGGAGAGTTTTCCAATTTTCACACAAATTATCAGTATTTCGTGATTTTTTTTTCCCTTGTGAAAATCTTTACCCTTCAAGGGCCCCCTAACAAATATTTATACGAAGCCCCGTTACGCCATTGGCGTGTAATAAGTAATAACCAACAAACCACAAAAGAAGTCAAACTGATGCAGGACTTACGCTCGTACGAACATTTCAGTGATTAAATGTGGATTTGCGTTGCATGTCGGGTCCCTCAGGCACCTGGAACGGAAAGTAAATTCTATAATTAAATTATGAATCAAGTAGCTATTGCCAGCGACTTCGTCCGCGTAGAATATGATTCCTGTTTTATCCCATCCTATCACCTATATCAACCCATACCCTGCCTGTACACCAAATTTTAGTCGCGGAGAACCTAACGGGTTACCAGGGCTCGACGTGCAGGAGAAGGAACGGGGTGGTTTTAAGTCAGTAAGAGTCTGACACTCCCTCCCGCCTCACCCAGGCGGGAGCAGTCATTCGATGATTTGCCCCCCTTAAAAAAAAACACCAAATTTTATCAAAATCCGTTCATTAGTTTCAGCGTGATTGATGAACAAACATCCGAAAAAAGAAACTTTGACATCTATAATATTAGATTACATAGATAGTTTAAAAAATTCAAAATTAAATAGAAACACGAACTTCCTCATGTAGATAGGGTCGATAGTCCAGTAGCAGTGTACGCACGTCAATGCGTGATGATAAAAAGTAATTCAGTCGCTTGCTTAGTAAGTAGTCGTAGTAGTTTAAGTAGTATTGAAGGAAATAGAAGTCCGAATTGTTTATTCACGTATTCACAATCTGAATCATCTTGAGGAAAATGTTGTGATATTAACTAGATTTGACTATGTAAATATTTGAGCACAATCAAATGAATCAAAACAGCAAAATAATTAGGTTTGAATTATATTTTGAAAAAGTATTTAATTAATTGTCAATTTCTTAAAAATGGGTTGGTTGTCGGTAGATGGGAATATGGGACACGCGAACTACACCTCTGTACCACTATTTGTCATCTCAATTGATGAAATCTATTGTTATTAAATATATTGTTAAGTAACCTACATAAGTACCTACTTATGTAGGTTAGATAACTATCTACAGAAGCAACCTGAGGGAATAACAAACAACAGATTTGAAGTACAAAAGCTAATAATAATTTGTAGTTAAAAATGATAAGAAATGTTTTGTTACTATTATACTTTTGTCCATTTTGGACATGCATTAGGTAGTACAAAAACACTTCAATTGCAAAATTTTCATATAAATAAAGTGTGAAAACTGTAGTTAGAGGCCAGAAAAATAGCTAAAGGATACTCTACATGACACAGATTCCCTCCAAATGGTTTTCCAATTACTCCAGAACAAATCCAAGACAGGCCATTAGTAATTAATGAATAAACTTACGTCTAAAATAAGATACCTAATTGTTTATTTTTATAACAATAAATCTTATCATCAACAGCCGGAAGACGTCCACTGCTGGACAAAGGCCTCCCCCTTAGCCCTCCACGTCGAACGACAACTCGCCACCCGCATCCACTGGCTCCCCGTAACTCTGGCGATGTCGTCGGTCCACCTAGCGGGAGGTCTGCCCACGCTTCGTCTTCCGGTCCGTGGTCTCCACTCAAGGACTTTCCTGGCCCATCTGCCGTCAGTCCTTCGAGCGACGTGGCCTGCCCATTGCCACTTCAGTCTGCAGATTTTGCGAGCTATGTCGGTAACTCTTGTTCTTTGGCGAATCTCCATATTTCGGACTTTGTCGCGCAAAGAAACCCCGAGCATAGCTCTCTCCATCGCACGCTGAGCGACTTTGAGCTTCTCCAGAAGGCCAGAGGTCAGGGACCACGTCTCGGTACCATACGTCATCACCGGCAACACACACTGGTTGAACATCCTGGTCTTTAGGCACTGAGGGATTTTCGATGAGAAGATTTCGCGTAACTTCCCGAACGCTGCCCATCCAAGTTGGATTCTTCGGGCGACCTCTTTGTCGAAATTGGACCTACCTAGCTGTATAATCTGCCCTAAGTATGTGTAGTGGTCTACAACTTCGAGGATATCGTTCCCAACGATGACCGGTACAGGTGCAACATGGACGTTTGACATGATTTTGGTCTTGTCCATGTTCATTTTAAGACCCACCTGTTGGGAGACGATATCGAGGTCGCTGAGCATGGTGTTTAAATCCTCCAGCGACTCCGCCATGATGACTATATCATCGGCGAAGCGGAGGTGTGTGATGTATTCGCCATTGATATTGATGCCCAGTCCACTCCAGTTTAAAAGCTTGAAAACGTCCTCCAATGCGTTGGTGAACAGTTTCGGAGAAATCACGTCTCCCTGTCTCACGCCTTTCTGCAATTGGATTGGTTCCGTGCTATCTTCCTGGAGTCGGATGCGCATGGTGGCGTTTCTATACAAACACTTTAGCACCTCGATATATCTGTAGTCGATATGGCATCGCTGGAGAGACTGCAGCACCGCCCAGGTCTCGATCGAATCAAAGGCTTTTTCATAGTCCACAAACGCCAAGCATAGTGGCAAGTTATACTCCTCAGTCTTCTGTATAACTTGCCGCAGCGTATGAATGTGGTCTATGGTGCTAAAGCCTTTCCGGAACCCGGCTTGTTCGGGAGGCTGGAAGTCATCAAACCTGCGTTCCAGACGGTTCGTGATAACCCTAGAAAACAGCTTATATACATGGCTCAGAAGCGAGATGGGTCTATAGTTCTTCAACAAAGAGTTGTCACCCTTCTTGAAGAACAGAACCACTACACTCCTTTGCCATGCTTTCGGCGTAGTTCCTTCGAGAATGACGGAATTGAATAGTTTCTGGAGGACTAAAAGTATCGGTTTTCCACCCGCTCGCAGAAGTTCTGTTGTGATTCCGTCATCACCCGGTGCCTTGTTATTTTTGAGCTGTCTGAGAGCCATCCTAATCTCATACAGGCTGATGTCTGGGATATCCTCGGTATAATGCCGTGTCAGTTTAGCTCTAGGATCCCGAGCTGTACCGACAATGGGTTGCCGTGTCGAGGTGTATAACTGTCCGTAGAACCTTTCAAGCTCTCTCAGAATCTCTGGCTTCGACGAAACGATGCTGCCATTTTCGGTCTTCAGTTTCGTCATTTGGCTTTGCCCAACAGACGAATTCCTTGCGAATACTTTTGCGCCCTGATTTCGCTCTATGGCATCCCTGACTCGTGCGGCGTTATATGCACGCAGGTCGCGTCGCATAGACTTTGAAATTCGCCTATTAAGTTTGCCATATCCAGACATGTCAACTGAAGACTGCAGCCTCATCTCGTGTCGGTCTTTCAATAATTTAAGTGTTTCTTTCGAGAGCTTTTGAGGTCTATTTCGGCGTGGGTTCTTGAAAAACTCTGAGCCCACCGTTTGGACAGTTTCCACTAACCCATTATTTAACTCGTCAATCGTTTCACACTCAGCCAGGCACTGGAAGCGATTATGCAGTTGGAGCTGGAACTGTTCGGGGTTCTGGACCTGGGCGCGACCAGGACGGAGTGTGGACCTCACCAGGCGTGACCTCTCCAGGTTGACATTGATATTCAGTGTGCCTCTGACAATACGGTGATCGCTGCCGGTTTTCACCTTAGCTATCACAGAGACATCACTGAATATGCGCTTGTCGGTCGCCATGATGAAGTCGATCTCATTTTTGGTGTAACCATCGGGACTTATCCACGTCCACCTCTTAGCTGGTCGCTTTCGGAAGAAGGAGTTCATTAAAAAGAGTCTCTCCCTCTCCATAAAGTCGACCAGCCGCTGGCCCCGACGGTTTCGCTGCCCATACCCAAATGGCCCCATTCTCAGCTCTTCGCCGTTCCGTGTGCCCACCTTCGCGTTGAAAATCTTATACTATTGTATAAAGCGGACGAGTTTGTTTTTTTGTTTGAATGTTTGAACGCGCTAATCTCCGTAACTACAAGTCTGATTTGAGTAATTCTTTTTGTGTTGGATAGCGCATTTATCAAGGATGGCTATAGGCTATAAAACATCACGCTACGACCAATAGGAGCTGAGTAGAGCGTATGAAACCGCTTGGAAGTAGCTAGTCCAAAATAAACACATAATATATTACCGTGTTCAAATCAGACAGAGACAGTCAGGACGCCATGTTGCGTTAAGTCTAACAAAATGGCGGCATTCCTCATATCATACAGCTATTTTAAACAGAGGCTGCATTCTATATCGTGACGTATGCCTTGTATGCGCGAATAAAATAATGTATTCGCACGGTGAACGAGTTTTCAAAGTTAACCTACAGCTTCGAACTTTGGTAAAGTACAGATAAAAGAAACATTTGAAAGTTTGATATGAATTTGAAGCTACTTTTGTCATTTCATGTAGATATAGATATAGACCTTTCCAATTTATGACAAAAATCAAAAATACATATTACGGGTCCATAAATAGACGTACCCAATTCGAATTTTCTGGGTTGTGTTCTTTATTACCACAATAGAAAATAGTAATCGTCCGAAGCCGACATGGATTTATTTTTATAAATTTTTCGTTCATTTTGTTAACTAAATCACACACAGGAAGAAATTCCAGTTGGAATACGTGGGGCCTATGTACTCTGTTTTTATAAATGTATTGTCCTTTATGTTGTATGTGTATACATAAATAATAAATAAATAAATAAATAAAACAATGCTTTCTTATTGCAGGAAAATGTGACGACGGAAAAAAAGAATTTGGAGAAAAAGCTTAGAGAAGCGGGCGATACACCACTTCTGAACTCGGCGTCATCTGATCTTGAAGTAACTCAATTGAAGGCTGAGATCGAGGTAAAGAATTTATAACTTAACCCTTTGAGTACCGTCATTATAGACACAATTAAAGAACAATAGGTTGCGGTCACCGGTGTCCTCGCGGTGTTTGACAGTTAATAAGATTTTACTTCACAAAAGGTTCTCTGCTATTTAACTTGGAGCAGCCAATCAGCGCGCAGTACCTCATAAAAGCGCCTATCGCGTTAACGTATAACAAAATCACACAAAGCACGGAAGGTAAGGAAGATAGGCCGCAGTATTTAGTAAAGTAGACATAACCCAAAAACTGATGCGATGAACTATTTTTTAACACCAGGAATATACATTCTAGACTTTAGAATACCCGAAAATTCTTTGCCCATTTGAGTAATCATCAACCGCGTGGGCGAATTCACGACCATTTCATTCAGTAAATTTATTCATAATCATCGTCATCAGCCCGTATTCGTCCTCTGCTGGACGCAGGCCTCTCCAATGCCACGCCACTGAGCTTGATCTTCAGCTCTTCTCATCCAACCACTGCCAGCCACCTTGCGGATGTCGTCACTCCACCTAGCTGGAGGGCTCCCTACACTACGTTTGCCTAAACGCGGTCTCCACTGTAGAACACGTTTACCCCAACAGTTATCGGTTCTTCGACAAATGTGACCGGCTCACTGCCACTTCAGCTTACTGATCCTTTAGATTTATTCAAATTACACTTTTCATCCTTGAGAATTAAACCTAAATGTATCCATGAATCTATTTAAGTACTACGAAAAAAGCGAGGTGCTCTTCCCACATTCAATTTAAAAAAAAATTGGAATATCTTGTACCTCGGAGTAATCACGAGCTCATTTGCCAAGCAAAGAAATTCGCAGGTAGAGAAACATTATAAAAGTTAAATGTTAAAAACGGTTATTTTTACTTCGTGACGTACCTTATAATAATTTAATGTCAATCTTTTCCTCATAAATTGCCTAGCAAATGAGAAAAGCTAAGTAAAATCAATAGGATTGTGTGCTATAACACTAATGATATATTAATATAATTTGACCGACTGAAACAGCATCCAAATTGTAAGGAATAGGTGATATGGAGCCAAGAACGATAGTGCTCGGTGAATGAATAATGCTAGCCCCCATTTAAAAACACGAATTTAATCTTAATAAGTACCTTTGTGTAATTATTCAAAGCATAAAAGTCTTGATCTGTGTTATATGTGAAAATAAAAAAAAGAGAATTTTACCTTAAAAGTTACCTCAAAAATTTCGTGTCGACGTAAGTTATTGAAGGTCGAATCACAAAAAAACTAATCGTGGCAAATTTAAGACGTAATTGTTTTCCTTTAATTATGCGCTTAAACTTTTTTTAATTTGAATTAAAAAGTAAAAAAGAAAGAAATAAGTACCAAATTAAATCTTTCATCCTGATGTGAATCCTAATTGGTCTGACTAAAGTTAAAAGAAATAACATAATTTTTAACTGACACTTTATTTAAACTTAAAAATGGCGGGTAAGAATCTAGATGTGAACACTGAATATAATTATTTTTAAACGTACCTCAGTAAGTGTACTTCTTTCCAAAAGGCCGGCAATGCAGTTGAAATTCCTCGGGCGTTGGCGAGTTCTAGGAGACCATCGAGCCATTCGTCCTACAAAAAAGAGAAAAGACACATTAATAGGCAAATCTCCCTTAAAATATTAATTGAAATTGGATTATCTCTATTGCAAGATATATATATATATATATTGTATAGCAAATTGCTACATATTTTTCACAAAAATCAATTAAACTAAATCACTCCAACTGAGCGCGCGCGCATCTCGCGAATTTTGATTAAAATAAACCGGATTCCTATACAGCGAGGCTTTTATAGGTTCTTGTACGGAGAACACACTGGGTCTGTTCGGAATACACTGACACGCGCACAGTGTATCACGTGGATCAAGGCAGAAGGACAAATTTATTTTCTTAGCATTTGACCGAATTTCCAGAAATCGGCATAAAGGAAATAAAAGAAAATCGTGTTAGAACAGTTACAGTATTTATAAGCCAACAAATTGGCGGGGAGTTAGATTAGAACCAGGAGACGGGCATAGGATCCAATATTTTTTTTACTTATTACCGAAAATCACGAGCGGGAACGGAAAAAACGGGATTGCGCGTACGAAGCTGCGGGCTGAAGCTAGTAATGAATAATTTCTGTGACTTGTAGCATACTAGCATACTGTTAGAAAAGGTTTTAAATAAAGAACTTTTTAAAATAAAAGTAAGATCAAAGTAGATTTTAGTTTATTTATGTTACTATTGTTTTTTTTGTTTTCAATGTTATTTTGTTATTTATTATTTTGTGTGTTATTCGGTGGTCCATGTCTGGTGGTGAATAAATTTTTTTCTTTTTTTTTCTTTCTTTCTTATTTGATAATTAATTTAGAAGTTGTAAAATTTTAGACATGTGAATGAAATATAAAACTTTGGAAGCTTGTAAGACATTTTTGAAATAATTTGTACCAAACAAAGATGTGTTTAGATTAAGTAGACTTTGGAGTATACAACAAAATTTATTATGTACCCCTAGACCTACAGACAAGTCGCGGAGAACCTAACGGGTTACCGGGGCTCCGCTCCGGCTCGACGTGCAGGAGAAGGAACGGGGTGGTTTTTAGTCAGTAAGAGTCTGACACTCCCTCCCCGCCTCACCTCTGCGGGAGCATTCATTCGATGATTTTCCCCCCTTAAAAAAAGACCTACCAACAAAGAAGATTTTTGAGTTAAAGGAAAGATTTCGCGATTGTTTTCATTTCTATAAAAAAAAACATATGTGACCATACAAAAAATTTAGGATGAATTATTTTTGGGTAGAAGCTAATAATCCCTGAAAAAATTGTTTCCGTCCATACGCCAAACAATCTGTATAATCTAAATATCTATTGTGTTAAAAAAAAATGCGCCCTAATAAAATCACATTCAAGATAACGAACTTAAGATCACGTCTTTTATCCCCGAAGGGGTAGGCAGAGGTGCACGTTACGGCACTTAATGCCAGTTTACAATGTAACACTCACTTTTCACTATACATGTTATGGGTCCCATGTAATAAGGGATCAGCCTATTGCCATATACCGGGCACAATTCCAGACTCAGTGCAACTACTGATATTTTTTTAAACCCAGTAATAATTTGCCCGACCCGGGAATCGAAACCGAGACCGGGACAAACAAAGTCAAAGTCAAAGCATTTATTTCAATTAAACCATAGTTTGGTGCTTTTGAAACGTCAACAAATACAAAATAAATAATAGTCTGTCAGTCAGTCCGTCAGTGAAACTAGGTGAAGCTAGGTGCTCATTCCAAAAAGTAGATTCGAATGGAGAAGAACGAGCAAGAAACTCCATTCGTTACTCTTTTTAAAAAAAGTATGTTCTACAATGTCTCTGATACATATTTCAATACTGTACGCATATGTAAGAACAATGCAAAGACAAAGACAAACAACGTAGTATAGTTCGACAAAATTCAAAGAACACCTTTTTAAAAAACAAAAGTATCACATAAAGATGACAGATCACCACATCACAAATACTTTGTAGATAAAAAACTGATAAAAAGATGAGAGCGTTTTATTGACAATCGATCAATTTAAGTAGGTATAACCAATTTAAGTAGTTCATATGAAAAAATTGTTTCTCATACCTACTTAAATTGGTCGCATTTTAGTGCCGATGACGCAGTAGGTACTTCTCATTGGTGCGATGGTGAACTTTACCTTTATGAGAAGACAAATCATTTGTTCATACAAAAGTAGACTCTATCTAGGTAGTCTATAAGGTCTATATTAGCGAGTGGAAAGCGGTCACCGGTCGAGCCTTCTCATTGGTGGGGTCCGCAACTATTTTCGATACACGTGCTATATATTTATCAGACAGCTTCGGTACAAGTTTATTTCCAAAAGTTCGCGAACACTGAACATTGTTGCCGATTTAGAATTTAAGTTCACGGTCGAATTTTAGTTTTGTATTTTAACTAAAAATGTCTTTTACAATTAAAGTGAATGAAGATCTAGTACGTATCCAATGTTTTCTTAATTATTTCATTGTTTGTCGTTAAAAGTGGCAGTGTGTGATTTGTTTAGTTTCGTGAAATTTGGTGTTGATACTTGATTTTCCAAGCTTACTGGGCTTGTTTTCTACGAAAGATAATATTGGTGATAATTTGTTTACGAAGTAAAAGAAAAACGTTGAAATGTTTATGCTAACAGTATATACATAATGACACATATATATAACATAATGTGTATTTGCAATGAATGTACAAATTAGTGTTACAAAGTTTTAAAGTTCCTTGTAGGCATACTTTAAAAGAATTAAAATAAAACTTATCATCCAAGAATGTCGCGGAGAACCTAACGGGTACTCCCTCCCGCCTCACCCAGGCGGGAGTAATCATTCGATGATTTTCCCACCTTAAACAAAAATCATCCAAGAATTCTTGTACTGAATAATAACACTTGTGCAAAAGTAATTATGTAACCATTTTTTTTAATAAGTATTGTTAGTGGTTGTTCCTAGACATTATGTAGGTACTAACACAATAGACATGGATTAGATTGAGATTTACTTTACTCCATGGTTTTAGTTCAAAATAATCAAATCAAAGGTGGGACTAACCAACGTCTAACGTCAGTCTCAGACTAAAAGTTGGTCCATGGTGCCACATAGTTTAACAACGGTGTAACCACGGATTAGTTGTAGAGGTGTTCGTTATATTATACTATAGCAGAATAAAACAGCCGTTGAAAAAATAAAGCATACGCAGCCAGTTATTAATTTGTACAGCGTTCTGCAGTGCTGTAAGCGCTATATGCCATCTATTACGTTTTGGCAGAAACTTCTACGTCACCAAATGAAAATGTCAACGGAACTATTTTGTTGAATTAGTTCCGTTCTCTTGTTAGAGATGTCGTTGTTTTGTACTAACAGTTATTATCGATTTTAACGGTATTGACATAAGGTGGTATATTCATCGGCAACGAATAGCGCAGATCGTTAATTTCGTTGTATCGTACTAACATTGACGATCGACTTACAGTGTATGACTTTAAGATCGTATATTTGTCGTAGGATAATTTGATATTTCGAATCTTCGCGGAAATCCTAGGGGTTTTGCGAAAACGCGGATAATTAGACATAGGCGAAAAATTATCAAATCTTACTGGACAAAGTCAGGATTTTTGCGAAAATACTCGTTACTATAGTAAGATTTGATGTGCTCAACACTGATTGGCTACAATTTTGGTGGCTGGCTTCTAATTGGTTCCTAGTTTAGGTGAGAAAGAAAAATTGATTTTTATAAACCTTTTATTGAAAATTTTAGTATGTATGTTGTTTTCTACAAACAATAGGAGATCTCAGTCGTTGTAAAAAAAAAAATGATCCAATTTTAGGGTGTAATCCATAAATTGGATGAAGACGACGAAAAAACATTTAAGACGTCAACCAATCAGAGACGATCTCTTATTGAACGCGCTGACCGACCAACCAGCGTTCTTATTTCATAACAGCCAGCGTTTCGTTTCGCAATCTTACTATAGTAACGAGTATTTTCGCAAAAATCCTGACTTTGTCCAGTAAGATTTGATAATTTTTCGCCTATGTCTAATTATCCGCGTTTTCGCAAAACCCCTAGGATTTCCGCGAAGATTCGAAATATCAAATTATCCTACGACATATTCATTGGCAACCAAAAAGCGCAGTTCGTCGATTTCGTGGAATTTGTTCTGCTATTTTCCGAATTTACTTCATTTAGCTTAGTTGCTATTTGTTATAATATTATTTATTTTTAAGTTGTAAATATTTAACGCACTTGCACACTTAGTTGTATTTAACATTTTATTGCTAACAACTATCTATAATATTTTTTCGTCTTTAATGGCAATCGAGTTTCCAATAATTTTATGTTAAAAATTTATTAATCATTTTACGAACGTTTTTATACAAGACAGCGACAACGACTGTTCAAGATGTCAAGTTAACTTTTATCCGTCAACAATGCAGTGATTTCATTTCATAGGTTTCATTGTATTTCATACCCCCTTCACAGTCTTTATGCTCTTCAGATTTGTGAGTTAAACCCAGTTTAAGGATGGTATTGTTACTCAGTGTTTGTTACTATAGATTCTGTTTTAAATTGAGTTTAACGCGTTAAACCCAGTGTAAGGATGGTATTGTTACTCAGTGTTTGTTACTATAGATTCTGTTTTAAATTTAATACTTTGGTAGTCCCGATTAGCTAGTCCAAGATTATCGTGAGATGAAGTTTGGAATAAGCTATTTTTCTTAATAAGACTGTAAACGATTGTAGGTTCTAACTTCGATGATTATTTTTGTCGGGTTTAAATTTCCAATTCAGAAGGAAATCGGGGAAATCGCAACACAGTGTAATGATGATCATTACGTTAGCCATAGACGTCATGTCATGAATGCTAAACAGTTCTATATTTTGTGTTTTTAAAGATGTTACGTGCTGAGCTTCGTCGGGCTGAAGGTGAATTGGAAGACAGGTGCTGGGCGCCTCCTCCTGGTCTCCAGCAGTGGCTGCAGTTGACACATGAGGTCGAGAACAGAGCCTACCTCCGCAAGAAGCAACAAGCAGACTTACAGTTGCAGCAAGCAAGAGAAGCGGTAAGCCAACGTTTCCACGGACGCTACTTGGCGCCTATGCGTCTCGACAGTCGACTATGAACGTTCTAGAATGTTTGCATAATACGGAAAATGTTGATGTAATATTAATTCATTCGGTTTTTAAAAGCGAACCAACTCAGTGCGGCCGCTATTCTCTAGGTGCTAAGTAAGCCGAGTGTCAGTGTGGACAATAATAAAACACAAAATTCTAATTGAACTGAAAATTTCAAAGAGAACATTTTCAATACCTACTATGAAAAATAGTGTATCAGTTATAAAATGACAAAGTTCTAACCTGTGAAGTGTCGGAACGCTGATCAACGCGAGACAATGAGTTTTCTATTGTGTCTCATATATCGCCGGACAAGAGGTTATAAAACTATGTTGCAATAGTTGCTACCACACAGTGATACCACGGCCTCACAGAAGACCGACGTGAAACAACGCTTGCGTTGTGTTTCGTCGCGTGAGTGAGGTTACCGGAGGCCCAATTATCCCTCCCCCCCTTTCCCAATCCCTGAATCCCCAACAATTCTCAAATTCCTAATCCCAAAAGGCCAGTAACGCACTTGTAACGCCTCTGGTGTTCCATGGGCGACGCCGATTGCTCACCATTAGGTGATCCGTCTGTTCGTTAACCGGCTTATTCCATAAAAAAGTAGGATCTTTGCAGTTTACAAGCTATTCCTGGAAATCAAGCGAATGATAGACTATTTTTATTTACTGTCAGTAGTTGAAAAATAGGGCATCCAGATCAGAGATCTGGATACCCTATTTTTCACATTTTAATCTTCAACTAACATATTATTTTAATCTGTTTCTTGATCATAATATTCAGCGGTTAAATTAAATGTTACTGTGAAAACTTCATTTAAACTCAAACAAAAAATCAGACCAGAACTAATATCAACTTGTCTGTGTGGGAATTGAACCCACGACACTTCGTCTTTGTAGTTGAAGAACGTGTTATAATATTGCACTCAGTTGTGACCAGGGTCTTAACCATTAAGCCAAACATGTCGTTGAATATGTAACAAAATAGCGAACCGCTTCATGCACTTTGTTTACATTAATGAGATGTATATTGTATGACATCATTCATTCGATGCGCTGCCATATATGCAACATGAAAGATTTCTCACTAACACAATTCTTGATGATGTTTTGCCACTTATTGACATATTCCCCCCCTTTCACAGCGTTCAAATAAAAACACTGTGGAAAATTTATAGCATGCTGCATCCAAGGATCATCATAAATCTCCCAATCTTCTATAACACCTCCACATGAAAAACATGCTGCTTTATCATATGGATTATTTCCGTAATAAAAGAATCCAGCATCAGCCATTTCCATCACTAATCTTTTCTTTGAATTATTCGTCCCCCAGTAATAATTAAAGGATAATTCACGTATTTTGTATGCATTATACATATCATATCGAGGTTTATATTCAGTTTGAAACATATTTTATTTATTTAGTACTAGTTCTTGATGCTAATAATTATAAACATAAAATGACATAGCTTTAATGCTGCAAGCAATTTATAAACGTGATTGTACAGGATTGGGAGAGATAGTAAACATATTATAAAAAATTAAACAAGTTTTTTTTATTTCATAAAAATTTTATTATCACGGCACCATTTATTTAAACACAATATATTTTTTAAAGCACATACAGAGTTATGATAAATACAATTATACAAATCTTGCGAATGTTTATATTGATCATATAAATGTACTAAACTAGAACAACCCTTATCTTCTAAATTAAATATATTACTATTACTATTTTCTAAAATATGCTTTAACCATAAAACTTTTTCTGAACCTTTAACATAAACACATTTATCTCTTAATATATCGGAAACCAAAGTCTGGTAATTGGAATAAGGTACAAATCCTTCACTCCAGTATATATTTTTGTTACGTTGAATCCAAAGAACTACCTTCTTTTCAGATTCCGTTAAATTTTTAAATGGAAATGGTGGCTTAACTAAAAACACTTGTAGTTTTTTGTTACACAATATAGCGATTTCTTTTAATATAAATTCATCTGCTTCTGTTCTAAATCCTTGAATATCAACAACAGCAATCATGATAATCTGCGCACAATGTTACTGAGAGGTTTGTATTCCACAAGTCGATCGTTAATAATCAAACAATATGCAGTTGTCTTATCTGGTATTGGTGTGGAACATTCAACTTCTAACCGCACGTCCACTGGACCGGTTTTTAAACTATCGTTTTGTCTTGAGCAATCTAAGATGAAAAGGGGAGCCTTTTCTTTAAAATCTGTTAGATCTAGCAATGGGTCAACAGGACTGTTGTAATACGACTGACGAAATTTCATATAATTTTATTGTTTCTAAAACTTTAAACTCAAAGGTTCGTAGGGATAATATTGCGAATTCAAAAAGAGTGTTACGTTGGTCACTTCACAATGATCGAATAGTGAACTGTCTTTAGTCCTATTATTTCTCCTATTAGTTTGCAAGCAAAATATAACATATCTAGGCTTTTCCAATTGTGAAGCTGTTTTAACTGACCAAGAATGCTTTGTAGTTTTAGGTAGCAAGGGATACTCATATAAATCCCAATTTCTAAAAGCCATCTGAATAGGTTTATCTCTTTCTAAATGTTTTAAAAGTGTTAGTCGTTCTCGATCTGACACTTTTATATGTGGCACTCTCCATTGGACTCTTTGTATATCTATTTGAAAATTAACAACATCATCAGTGAGAATAACACTATTTAAGTTAGAGTTGCTTCTACTCAAAATAAGTTCGTGTTTACAATTTATCACAATTTTATTGTAATCTTCTGCAAACCCTAAAATCTTATTCAATGGTATCACAGCACTAAAATGTCCGTCATTTTGGAATCCCGCTAAGTTCCAGCCCCATAAGGCTGCAACTTTATTTTCTGCTTCATTTAATGAAATGTATGATTTTATTGTTGACGTAATTCCTGAATTTTTAATACGGTCTATTTCGATACCATTCATTTCGTATCTGATGTCTTGAAACAAAGACATAACAGGGTTATTAGTGAACGTAACAGTTTTCTTGATCGGATTCCCATCTTTACCGAACAGCCTTGCCTGTCCTTCGATGTAAATTGAACTGGCTGATGGTAGCACGTATATATCTTGCTGATGTATGGGGATTCTGATTTCATCGTTTTCTCTAAAGCTGTTATTGTAGGGATTGTATGAATGGATTTCATAACTTTCAATCGAACTGTCGAAATGCGGTAATTCAGTAATCTGTAGCATATTCATACTTTAAAACCCAGAGCTTTAAGAAAATCTTTATTTGCTTTAGTCAGTTTCTTAATTTTTGTATTACGTCTTTGCGCCTTAGCGGTCGCAGAAGAAATAAACCGATTTATTTTTACTGGAGTGCTTTTATAATATACAATCATTTTGTTTTTCTTAAGTGCAGACGTAACTGAATATATTCTTCTTCGAAGTTAATACAGTGACCAAATTGATCAACAATTTTAACAGATATGGATGAAATTATATTTTTGTTCACTGGAAAGTAAATAACGTTTTGTGGTATCTCTATATAACCATGACTTAGAGCAGTATCTGATACAAATTCATGAATAAAATGTGTTGGTAATCCATTGCAGTATGAACCGTACACAAGATCACATTCAATTTTGATCACAGACAGATTACTAGTTTTAACTGAAATATCTGGTCTTGAATTAAATACTGAAAAGTATAGTAAACCGCACTCGTATTGATCAGATAAATGAAGAGGTGGTTGAAAATACGAGACCAGTTCTGATTTATTTCCAGAGATGGTAACCGTAGTAGACATGCTTATATACTGGACTGTTATGAAAGATCCTGTTCATTTTATTGCTTCGTTGACCAAAAATTGTTTAAGAAGTGTAAACAAAGATGTCCACAGTTGAAGAGGTGATCACGTTGTATATTGTCATAATTATATTGAATGTTAGAACCTACATATTTTACAAATTCCTTTGGTGGCTTAAGATTCCCGTAACTGTCGAAATACTCAACATAATCATTATATTTTGCATAGGCTACCCAATGAGAACCAGGATTTTTAGAACTATCTAAATTAATAACTCCACATTCTTTTTTATATGGATATTTAGGGAGCTCATCTCTCATAAAGACACCTCTAAAATAAGGAATTCTATTTCCATACTTTAAAATGTCAAAGTTAGTTAAGGCCCGTTTGGGTAGCCGATATCTTAGTTTTTTTCTTTTAATACGAAAATTCCAAGACCACTTTTATGTGGTTTAAGGTGTAGTCCTTTCCCAATACATAGAGCTTCCATTTTTTCATTATGTCTCCTCGATTCCTCATACAGCTTTTTAGCCATTTTAAATTCATTTATGGTTTTAGCAATACCAGCTGCACCGCCTGCTAAAGCTCCCGCCGCTGATAATCCCGCAAAAATAGGAATCAGAGGTAGTACTCCCCCAGTTTTTGGAATAGGAATAACGCGAGGGAGCTTAATCGATGAATCATTAGCCAATTCTCTGGTAGCGGCAATAGCTAATTCTATAGCCATTTTCTTGGTCTTAGGTTTTAATTTTTTTATGTGTCTTTTTGCTTTTGTAATAACAGTTTTTAATTTGCTTTTTAATCCTTTTCCCGATGTAACTTTGGGAGAACGCTTTTTGATCAAACCAGAACCAGTTTTAATTTTTGCCGACATAGCCTTACTTACTAAGCGTGCCGCGAGTTTTTCGCCTGTACTGGCATCGGAAGCAACCGCTCGTTGTTTTGCCATTTTTAACAAAATTAAATCAGCCTTATGTCGATCCTTTAAGTCTGATGACTTGTGATATGCAATATCGTGATCTTTGCAATATTCGTCCAACTTATTTATACCGTTATCTCTTTGTGCAAGTCTTTTTATTAATTTAGTACCAGGACCACAGTAATTATATCCTGGTAAATGTAATTCAAATGGTAAATGATTAATAAGCCAATTGAGAAGACTGC